ATGTGTGATCAATGGAAGAGTTATCAATGAACATAACATCGTGCTTTGCAGCCATTGCTTCGAGTTTCTTGTTGACTTCCTGTATTTTAGTTGCTTGTTCTATATCCTGTCTAAACGTGATTCCAGATAAACCAACTTTTGAATTAGGGAATTTTGCTTTGGTTTTGATAACAAGCCTTTCTAATTTCTTCGAACATACTTTGGTTGAGTCTATCGGAATGTTGTTTGTCCCAGCGTGAACAATTACGTGGGAGGGAGATGATTGAATATTAATAATGTTAAGTTCCTTTTCAATATCTTCGGCAGTTTTCCCTGGGTATGTAAATTTATAAACTTTTTTTTTTGTAAGTTTTCGAGGGTCGATGTGTTTCACTATTGAATCACCAATAAGAACAATTTCTTCTTTAACACGCTTCCTTGTAGATTGATTTTCGAGGTTTGTCGTTGAAGCAGATACGCTTTCACTTGTCTCCTCGACAGCAAGAGAAGAGAATTGATTTTTAAGCGGGATTGCATGGGTATCTCGATTCGGTTGTTGAAAGTCATCCCGGTCATTAGCATTAATTTGTTTTTCATGGGAATGGCGTTGATCTTGTGTAAGGAGCTTTAAAGCTAAGAGGAGCGAGTCTCTCTCTTGTTCAGCTGCTTTTACACGATCTTCAAGCATTTGATTTCTGTGTTGTTGTTGTTTAAGTTCAAGCTGGAGCTTCGCCATTACTTCTTCGTTTGGAGAAATGTTAGTCTTTGCATTAATCATTCCCTCAACACGGTTCTGTAGAATTATCATATCAAGTTGAATACCTGCGATATCTGTTGCCAATGATTTGCAGTTACAACCACATACGGTGGAAGTAGGTTGACTTTTCTGGCAGATGTTTGAATCCTTGCATGGATTGTTTTGGGAAATATCGTCAGATGTGTTCAGAAAGCTCTCTTGGGTCGTTTCACTGACACTGATGACTTCGTTTTGACTTTGATTTTGAATCACAGAATCCCCTACGGTTTCGACAGCGCCATTCTTCTGTGTTTTTTCGCTAAGTAGCTCTATTATTTTGTTCTTAAAAACGTCTCCTAAACATCCCTGGAAAAGTAGCGTTGACTGCTTCTTAAAATACCAGTTTATGCTGAAATTGTCGTCTTGTGCTTTAAAACGTTTTGCTCCCCCGCCAGGAGAAGACCATTTCCCATTGATTCCAAGGCAATCATGAACGAACTTCTTGAGATGCTCGAAGTCGTTTCGCCATTTAATTTTATTTCGATCGACCTCAAAGCTAGAAAGACCTTGACATCCAATTTCTTCTAAACGTTTCACAATGTTTGTTGAATCAGTCATGTTTATCAGACTGTGTATGGCGTGTTGAATCAGTCATGTATATCGAACTGTATATGGCGTGTTGGTGTTTTTCTCTCGAAGTATTTTATTTTCATCCCTCAGGTCTTGATTTTCTTTCATTAATAGATTGGCTATCTCATTCGTATCTCAAACTACCGCGAGGCACTTTCTCTCGATCGTACTGTACTTCTTCTCGCTTTCCATTAGTTTCCTGCTAGCATAACTAACTGGCGAAAGTTTACCATCATGCTCCTGCAATAATACCGCACATTTCCTTGGATACACTTTCTCGATCTCTCCGTGATATGTTCGTACTGTTTGACTACTTTGAATTTCTTAGTCATGAAAGCATGGTCAAGACTTGGATAATTTTAGAAAGAAATATTTAAATGTATATATAGTTTCGTACAGTTTTGTTCTAACTTAGTTAATTCGTAATTTTGTAAGTAATATTTTGTCCTGTCGAACACGTTATATATTAAAAGTTATATTGCAGTAATATTCGTAAAATAGTTTATAGACTTTATGAATACTTTATAATTTATATAATTTGGTAAGGGAAGAGCCACTCTGTGGATATATTGCCAATAAATCATTATTATTATTATTATTACTATTTCTTGCAGTTGAACTTTCTGCTCGTCAATCAGCTGTTAAACCGAATGTCACATCGGGTTGCATGGTGCCAAGCTCTAACAGGCTCTCATCTTCGACGGCTCCTTATCGACCACTTTCTCTTTGCTCAATCACAGCTGCCGCAGCAACGTGAAGGACTGAACTACCTTCTATCTCGCGATCATTCTTCTTTGGCGACGCTTCTTCCCGCTCTTTGACTTCCGTGGTTGTCTCTCGACGTATTCCTTCAACATGGTCGCATGAAATGTTTTTACTTTATCACCAACCTTGATCCCGTAATCATTGACTCCGACAATCGACTCTACGAGGAAAGGACCTTTCCACTGCAACTCGCTAATAGAAGTAAAACTTTGCTGCCGATTTTGAAGCTTCGTGACTTGGCCTTTCGATTGTAGTAACGCTGCTATTTTACTTGAGATTTCTTCAGTTCATCTTGTGCCAGCTTCAAGTCTCTTCTATTCTCTCCCGAAGATCGAACACGTATTTGTAGCTGGTCTTCACTTCAGGATCTTCTACTTTATGGATCTACAGCTGCTTCAAAATCATCATTGGACCTCGTACGGTGCGGCCGTATAACAGTTCAAATGGGGAAAATCCAGTGGATCCTTGTGGCACTTTTCGATAGGCGAATAACAAGGCATTAATATAACGGGGCCACTGCTTTGGTTGTTCGCTACATAGCTTCTTCAACATATTATTCAGGCTTCCATTGAACTTCTCAATAAGACCGTTGCACATCGGGTGGTAAGGCATAGTTGACAGTTGCTTGATACTTAGCAATCTCGACACTTCCTGCATACACTCAGATACAAATTGAGTTCCTAAGTCGCTAAGAACTTCCTCCGGAACACCAAGTCTACTGTACATATCTACCAAGGATTCAGCAACTGCTTCCGTACTAATTGATTTTAAGGGAACAGCATCCGGGTAACGGGTGGTATAATCAACAAGAGTAAGGATATAACGATGTACATGTCCTTGCTCACTAGGTGGGTAGATGGATCCGACCAGATCTACCGCTATTCTTTTGAAGGGTGTATCAATTAATGGTATCATTTCTAGAGGCACTTTAGGGAATTTCCCTTTCTGTATAGTTTTTTGGCAAATGTCACAAGAGCGACAAAATCGAGTGACGTCACCATGGATTCCAGGCCAATAAAAGTTACTCGTAACCTTATCAGTGGTTTTTTGGATACCCAAATGTCCACCCATAATCGAACTATGTGCGACATCCATTACTCTTTCACAAAGGGGTTGCGGAACCACTACTTGTTGGAGGGTTTTCCCTTTCGAACTCTTGTAGGACCGATACAAAACTCCGCCCTCAGTTTTAAAGTTGTCTCTTGGTCAACCTTTGCGTTAGTGTCAGTCATGTTTCGGTATTTATTTAGTGTGGGGTCTTCCTCCTGCATTTTGCGGAGGTCTTCCTTACCAACTGACAGTCCATTCGAAACTTCTTGGGGTCTTTAGGGGTTTAAGTTTATCACTTCGCTTTGCTTGAGACCTAGTGGTTACAGCGCAAGTTTCATGCCACTCGGGGGTCAGGGTCATCCGGGGCCCTAGCACCCTCTGCATTACCAATAATGAGGTCATACAGTGCATCAGGTAAACACTGTGCTTCCACTTCTCCCTTCAAATAGGGGGTATCAATTTGGTCTTAACTATCTGGACTTGTCGAACAGTGTAAGGGACCGTTCTTACTCCCAGTAACCTTACAATCTCTGGCATTAATGTCCACTGCGATCACAAAGAAACACCGTTTCTTCCTCCTAGGCTCTTGCCTTGCAGGCTTGCGGCATTTTATGACCATATCCCTTGCAATTTAAACACTGAATTCTCTTCTCATAAGTGCTTTTGTTACTGCTATCAGGCGAATTCATTCCCTTCGACAACACCTTCGATTTGTTGTGAGGTTTTGACGACCTAGACAGTTTTTTCTCACAAGCAGTAAGAAATTGCTCAGCTGTTTTAGTCGGTTCCTCCAAATTCTCAAGGTTCCTCTTTCTTAAATAAATTGCTAGATCTTCCGTGCAGGAATGTATAAACTGCTCTTTAATGAACAAGTCCCGAATTCCCTCATAGGTTTTTTCAGTTTTAGACAACTCAACCCACCTGTTTAGATATCTATTTAATCTCGTCACAAATTGTTCTGGCCCATCTTCTGGCTTCCCCTCCCTGAACCTCATCCTAAAACCGCTTTCAGTAAGTTCATACCTTTTCCAAAAGCGTTCTTTCTGCTGCTTGTAATCAACTGCGGATTAAACATCCGGATCAACATCCGGATTAATCTCAAACTAAAGTTGTATGGGTGCAGTGAAAATACTCTTTGCTGGTTTAAATCGTACTTAACAAATCGACGACGTCATATGTGCAAAATTGGTCGTACTATATCTCAGGAACGTGTTATTCGCTGTGGTCTACCACAAGCTCTACTTTGGGGCCGTTATTTTTACTTTACGCAAATGACCTCCCAAGTTGCCTATCTCATTCAAAAGCTAGTATGTTCGCTGACGATACAAATTTAACAACATCTGGGAAGTCCATTGTAGATATACAAAACCAGTTAAATTCTGATTTAGAAAATATTCATACGTGGCTGTTAACCAACAAATTGACTCTTAACAAAGAAAAAACAGAGTATATAATAATTAGCTCTCGGCAACGGTTAGCGAAAATTGATGACGATTCGAAGATAAGTCTTGACGGTATTGATATAAAAAGAGTTAAACAAGCAAAAACATTAGGTATTGTTATCGACGAAAAATTACAATGGAAAAATCAAGTTGACGAAATAACTACCAAAGTTTCTAGAGGAATTGGCATGTTAAGGAGAATGAAAGCCTATGTTCCCCAGGAAACTTTAAGGACTGTCTATAGTGCACTGATAATGCCACATTTCGACTATTGTAGCCTTGTCTGGGATAATTGCAGTAATTATC